TAGCAATAAAAGGAATGGACTGACTCCTCCAACACGGATGCCTCTCCAAAATATTAAAGTTAAAAGTTCAACAGGAAAGAGTTTATATTGTATGGTTTCTTTTATATACAGTTCCAGAACAGGAAAGACTGATCTGGTGAGGAAAAATTGTAACAGTAGTTGCCTCTGGGGGAAGTGGAGGTGATAGACTGGGGAAGAGAAATGAGGGAACTTTGTGAGGTGATGGAAATGTTTCATATCCTGAGAGGAGTTTGGTTTGTCTAGGTGCATGAATTTGTCAGAACTCAGTGGCTGTACTTAAGATTTATATATTTCATTGTATGTAAATATTACCTAAAAAATGCAAACAAATACTGAATTCTACTTCATAAGTTATAGAAATGTCGAACCACTATACTATACACCTGAAACTAATATGATATTGACTGCTAATTGCAATTGAAAACAAAACTGAATTCCAATTAATGACACATATGCTAGAAATTTAGGCGCTACTGATGTCTATAACTTACTTTGCAATACCTTCAAAAATACATCAGAGTGAATGATAGATGAATAGACATATAATAAAATAACTATACTAAAATGTTGATGGTAGAATACCGGTAAGGAGAATATGGGAAATCCATTGTGAAAACCTTTCAGTTTTGCTGTTTAAAATTTTCCATACTAAAATTATGGGGAATGAAAACCTCTAAGGTGACCACACTCTTACAATAACAGTGTCGTCTGACACTCCCTGCGGAAAGAAACATTCAACTAGAGAAAATTATGAAAAGCAACCAATTAAAGTCTCTGGAGTCCTAAGAGTATACAGCAAACAGAGAAAAACTTGTTCAAGAAAATATAGTGAATTTTAAAAAATACATTTTTATTTATTTCAGAGAGAGGAAGGAAAGGGGAGATAGAAACATCAATGATGAGAATAACTGACCAGCTGCCTCCTGCATGCCCCCTACTGGGGATCAAGCCAGCAAACAGGGCATGTGCCCTGACTGGAATCGAACTCTGACCTCCTGGTTCATGGATTGACACTCAACCACTGAGCCACACCAGCTGGGCAGTAAATCTTGATAAGAATCTTAAGAGTTTGTGGGAGTTGAGCCATCACCTGACCCCATCGCCTCCTAACTATGTGACAGAAGCTTTCCTCCAGGCAGGCGCCAAGAAGATAGGGCTCCCTCCCTGCTCAGCTCCTAGTTTAGGATTATGGTTTTACTTGGGGATGGGGGGCTAGGGAGAGGCAGATGGACAGCACACCAGCTCTTTCTCAGGCAGGGGACTGGATTGGGACTTCCTTCCAAAACCCAATTTCCACCTGTAGGGCACAGCATTACCTGGGCACAGAAAGTTGAGAATGTTGGGTCCCAATTGCCTCCACCTCAGTTCACTCATAGGTTCCATTCTGATTTTGAGAGCAATTTTTCTTAGCCCTGTTGTCACTGAATGCTGACTAAGGTTCAGGGGAAGAAGAAATAGAAAGGGGAGAAAGAGGAAAGGAGAAGAGAGAGGAAAAGTAAAGATGGTAAAGATTACAATGTGGAAAAGAAGGGTCTGTTTTAATTCTCTTTTTTTTTTTTTTTTTTAATCCTCACCAGATGATCCCATCCCCTCTCTCCTAACTCCCCCTCCTCCCCAGAGCCATTGCTTTTCAGAGACAGTGTGGAAGGGAGGAAGGGGCGTAGGGAAAGCAAGAAACATTGACATAAAAAAGACATCGATTAGTTCCTTCCACAAGAGCCCCAATGGGGCCAGGGACTGAACCCACAACCTTTTGGTACACTGGCCGATGTTCTAACCACTGAGAAACACCAGCTAGAGCTGTTTTAATTCTTTTACAATTCTTTGTAATATCTTTCAGTGCCTGAAATTGTCTTAATTATTTGTGTGCATGTTTGTTTTCTGTCTCCCCTACTGTTAGGATATTTGTCTTTTTGTCCCCATAGAAGATGCTCCATACATATGTGATGCAAATTCCACACCAACATGATAAATCCATGAGCAAATTATTTGAAACTTTCCAACCTTTCCACCCATTTCTCATGGCCACAAATAATCACTCCCTCACCTAGTCTAGTCTCCATCACCTGGGTGTTTTTTAAGGCTACAAATTCTTAGGCCACACTTGCAGAGACTGGTCTGTCTCTGCTTTTTAACTACATATCTTCCTGTCAAGTATTTTAGAAAAGGGTAAGAAGAAAGTCTGTGTGACAGTCTGGGGAATGCTCACATGCATCAAACAAGACACTAGGATTGTTGATTATATAGGAGAAATTGCAACAAACACATAGCAACTTTTTGGGGGTGTTCAACTTGTTAATTCCAGTTTGCTTTTCTCCTTCCAATTCTATTCCAGATGTGGAATAGAATGACTGGGCTTGGAAATGGCTAGAGATTAGAATCAAAGACTCAACAAATGTAAGTGCTGGAAGGGACTTCAGGTGCCAGGGTTCTTTCCCCCCAGCCTTACAGAGGGGTCAGCATTCTGGAGAAGGGGGCTGTGTGTGATGATTAAGAAGGAGTCCAAGGACGAAAAATATTTTTGAAAGGCATTGGGGGTCAGAGGAGCTTCCAGCTGAAGGAGCTAAAGACTCTCCTTGTCTCCGACCTTGTGCTTTTATTAAATACAATTTGTCCCAGGGCAAGGTGGAAAGGGACTGGTAACAAAAGGTTTACAAAGATTGTCAGTTTCCGGAATAGCCTACAGCTGTTCAGGTGTTTGGCCAACAGGAGGCAATAAAATGCCCTGAGCTGTCTGGCAGTTAACAATAATCCTATTCAGGTTTGGGAGAAGTGCTTTGTAGCCTTTCCAACTGGTAAACTCCATGTGATTCAACCCTGTTGAGCTCCCCAAGCTTCACCAACCTTTTGGTAAAACTCTTGTAATTATTACATGCTGGCATTGGTTCTCGGCATTCAGGCTTTACTTGTTTCCTTCTTATCATCTACATCCAAAATATCAGGGTTTCACCTTCCATGAACACTATGCTATTCAAAGCATTTTCTGTGGACCAGCAGCATCAGCCTTACCTAGAAGCTTGATGGGAAATGCGGAACTTCAGACCCCATTCCAGTGCTGGGAAATCAGAATGTACAGTTTCATATGACGCTCCCCTCCCCCCAGGTGATTTGTGTGCAGTTTGAGAAACACTACAGCAATTTCTGGACACAATGAACCAGTACCTACTACCTCCAAAAATGTGCATTGGCCATTAGCACTTACCTGCCAAACTGGACCAGCAGAATGAGAACTCCTAAGTGAGCTCTTTTCCCAAATAGCAGCTGTAGAATTCATGCACCTGTGCATTAGGAAAAACAAAAGAAGCGTAAAAAGATAAAACTCCAAAGCAATTTCAAAGCTTTGAATAGGATTCAGTTTTTAGATAACATTAAGACATTATCCTCAATTTTGTCAGGTGTTACAATGATGGAAAAGAAGGAAAGGAGAAAAGTCCCTATTTGTTAATGATGAACCATATTAAAGTATTTATGTATGAATTCATATGCTATCTTGGATTTGCTTTAAAACGCCCCAGAAAAATTAAAAGTGTGTGTGGGGGAATTGGTGAAATGGTGATAATTTTTGGAACTGAGTAATGAATACATTGAAATTCATTATAATACCCTCCCTACTTTTATGGAAAATTTCACAATAAGACTTTTTTTTTTTTTTTTTTTTTTAAGTAGTCTCAGGTTAGGGATAACCAGAAGTCGCACCTAGAGGCACTTGTGGTGGGAAAGTGTAGTCAGGAATGTTGTGTATTTGGCTGAAAGTGAAGGTTGAAGGGAAATAGGCAAGAAGTAAGGTTTATGGACCAGACCCCTTGGGACATTCCTTCATTTAATCCCCCATCATAGCTCTGTGACATCAAGGGCACCTTAACCAAGTGACTGAATTTGTATCACCAACCATGGGATAAACTGGTTTTGTCTGCCTCCTGGTGGAATGTATGGGAAAGAAAACAAGATTATTGCTGAAAATGTTTAACTGGAATCTATTCATGAGGCAGAACTTGGGACATTTTACCAAACAATCCTGAACTCTTCAAAATTGTCACTGTCATGAAAGGCAAAAAAAAATATTTTTTTTAAATCAGGCATACTGCTTTAAATTAAAGAAGACTAAAGAGTTATGATCTAAATGAAATGGATAAACTCTGACTGAGACAAGATTTTAAAAAGAAAAAGGCTGGAGAAAGCACCATTGTGGGGACAATTGGAAACTTTGAAAATGAATAGTGTGCCAGATATTTCTGAAAAAAATATTAAATGTATTGGGTGTGACTTAACAAACACACAACCTTATGAGGTAAGTGGTAACCCTCTTTTATTTATTTATTTATTTATTTATTTATTTATTTATTTTTGTTATTCTCAATTATAAATCTTTATTAACAGAAGATAAATAAGATAAAAAATAAACGCCAATCTCAGATTTATGCTGAGCTATCCTACATTAAAGTAGGAATATGAAAACATAAACTTTTGACATTCTTAAAGTGGCTAAGAATTAGATCTATTTGCATTGTTATTTTAATTTCATACTTGACAACTCAGCTATGCTCTCCCACCAGAATTATTTCTAAGATGCTAACTTAATGCAATAGCATACTTTGGTAGCTCAGAAAATCCAATGAGCTGCTAAAAGTCAATATTCTCATGTCAAAGGTTTTAACTATTTTTTTTTCACAGACTTTGTTCCTCCTGTGAGTATTTTCACAATGTTCATAGAAGAGGCTTGAGTATCATGGCATTCGCGGTTGCGAGTAGCCCTACAAGTTATTCTTATAATTCTTTGAAGAAACTGTCAACTTTAGGTTTTGCTTTTGCAAATTTTTCAGAGTGACACCTGCTGGCTACAAAGATTAGGTACAAGGAAATTCTATACTCTTAAAATCAAATTTAGTATTCATGATTGTTACATAAAAGCAATCACAATTAAAACAAAAAAAATAGTATCACAAACAATATCCCCTATGATAAAGGATTTCTGTGTCTAAATGCTTATATCCAAAACTAGAGGAATAAGGTGTATTTCTCAGCCTGGCCTGCACCCTCTCTCAGTCAGCGACCCCTCGGGTGATGTCTGTCTGATTGGGCCCAAGCTGGTAGTCAGACATCCCTCTTGCACTCTGGGACCCCTCACTCCTTACAGCCTGTCTGCAGCGGAAGCTGGAGATGCTCCCGTCACCACTGCTGCACTTGCTAGCCATGAGCCCGGCTTCTGGCTGAGTGGCACTCCCCCGTGGGAGTGTACTGACCACCAGGGAGCAGTTCCTGCATTGAGTGTGGGTCAGTGTGCATCATAGCGACCAGTCATTCCACTGTTCGGTTGATTTGCTTATTATACTTTTATTATATAGAATGGTAAGAGACCTATCACTGATTGGTCAACTCTGACTCAAGAATGACAAAACAACTATTTTTCCACTCAAAGGCTAACACATTTAGTTCTGGGTGTGAGACACAAGAAAATATTAAAAACATCAAAATTTTATAAATGAATGAAAAACAGAATTGTTACCAAAGAGGATAAAGTTACTCACATGTTCTATAAATTTCCTTTCAGATAGATTTTTTTTTAATTGCAAACCATGAAAACATTAGAAGGCAAAAAAAAAAAAAAAAAAAAAAAAAAAAAAGACTATAAAATAACAATTACAGGTACTAATTTTTTAAAAAAAAAAATGAAGCCCTAGTTTTGAGAAAAAGTAATTAATATACCGTTCAAAATGCCAAGCAATTGAGCAAGCCAGCCAGGGCCTCTTTCCATATCAGAAATAAAAATCTTAATCTGCTCTTCATGTACCTCCTCTTTATTTTTCTTCTATTCCTTCAGCATGGAAAGGAATGAATTTACTATTAGACTTCTGGAAGCTTTATTAAAGTCAGGCAGCAAGATGAGCAGACCCTGACTTTTCCATCTACAATCATTGGAAAGAAGCTGAAAAGAATGTATCAGCTGTGTGTATCATGAATGTCCATCTGCAACCAGTTCCTACTGTCCAAGGAAAGAGGCCATGGGGTCGTCGGGCCTCTGGCGCTTCATTCTATAGGCCTCCATCTCCTCCTCGGTGGGCTCCCGGGTTTCACAGAGGATATTGTAAGACCGCTTCCTCTCATCAACCTGCATGAGCTCCTTCACCTGAAGAAGGGGGGCCTCCTCTGCATTCAGTGCTTTTTTCAGTTTTTCCTGTTTCTTTTCTTCGTCATCACTATCTGAGCTGCTCTTTCGATGCTTCTTCTTCTTCTTTTTCTTCTTTTTATCCTCTTTTAGTTTTTCCTGATGTATCTCCATGAGGGTTTGAGGTTTTTTTCATGGATTCTTCTCCAATTATATCATCTACAATACATTCCTCTGAATTAACAATCTCCTTCCCAGCTTCCCCATTGCAATAGGAAAACTTTACGAAAGAGTGACAGCATTTGTATCTCCATCTGCCTTCTTTCCAGTAAGATCCCCAGATATGCGTATGATTGTGGATCTTCACATCCTCCTCATATTTGGAGCAGGCGACAGCCCGCTCCTGTCCTTTGCCTTAAGTACTGTCCCATGCCTTAAGTACTCCGCATAGTCTTCTGTCTGAGCTAAAAGCAATTCAGCTGGAGGAGCATCCAAATGTTCTTGGCCACCATACTTTTCCAGGATGCTTTCTTTCTGCTGTTCTTTGAAGTCTTCTTTTTGGACCTTGAAGGACTTATACAAGAGCTCTAGTTTGGTAGGATCGGCCTGCAGATGCACTTCAGATCCCCTGTCATAGGCTTCCCATGCAAACAACTGTGTCTGAGCCATTGAAATGGTATCACCTGTATATCTAACAAAGTTGTTTCCCGCATAGCTCACTTCATCTGGATTCTTTCCTGCATTGGCATAGGGATTTTCTCTCATCGCTCTAGTTTTGGGATCATAGTAAGCAGAATTTGGATCTAAATTCCACAAATATTTTACAATATCTTCTCAAATCCTGAGATTCCAAACAGTAATCCGTCTCTTAGAGTCAAAGTTCTGTCCAGGCATGTCAATATCATCTGCATATTTATCTTCATCCTCATCCTCACTATTATGATCTTTTTCCATGTGAGAATTTGGTTCCTCTTCTCCCCACTGGTGTTTTGGAGAATTAGCCTGTTCCACCAACTTTCCTGAGGCCAATTCTTCTTGGAGTTTCTGGGCTTTCAGTGTTTGTTTTGCCAGATCAACTTTGGCATATTCTTCTACAATTTTCATGTGTTCTTCTGGATTGTAGCCATTCCACCGATCCCTCTTCCCATCATAGTCAAACATCAGCTGAGGCTGGACATGTTCGTCTGGAGCTGTGTTAGTTCCTGTAAATTTTGCTCCAACTCGCCAAGGTCTCTCAAAGCAGTCTTTCTTTTTGTGTGTCATGGCCCCACAATTTTCACACGCTCCTTTGCGGTACTTAGTAGTTATGGAATTCTCTTTTATACCCTTCTTATACCATTCTACAGATGAGCTGAACTGCTTCTGTTTTTCTGGTTGTGGTCTCTGGTGCTTTAAAGTAGGTCTTTTTGATGGATCAATATACCATGGCACTGAAGAAATATACTGAGGAATATGAGGGTTGATGTCTTTTCCTTCTTCATCAACTTCTGCAGAAGCATTACCCAGTTTTCGCTGTTCTTCTAGCTCTTTCTTCTTTCTCCAGTCCTCTCTGGTCATCTTCTTTGGTTCCTCCAAACTCATTTCTTTGGACCCTGCCACGGGGGCAGCATTATCTGTGTCCACAGCTGCAGCCGCCATTGTTATCTGGCCTCCTCAAGTCCTGTCGCAGAGGACCCCAAACCACCGGACTCGGTAACCCTCTTCTAGAGACTGGGAAACTGAGGTTCAGAGAAATAGTGGTCCACAGCAGGTAAATGGTAGAACAGAAATGGGCCCGTATCTCCCTGCCTCCAGAGCACAAGCTCTTTGCTGGTGGATACTTCTTGCTTCACAGCAGCCCCAGGAAGTAAGAAATAGGACTACAGTGGTCTACAATGCATCCAAGGGAATAGGTTGTGGCTAAAGATGGTAAAGAGGCACCATTCACTGTTGTCATGGAATCAGCAATCATTCACTTATTCTAAATTGTTGGGTGACAATAATTGTAGAGGGCGCCTGGGAAGGCATCTGAGCATTCCCTTAGTTATAAAAGAGAATAAAGCAGACCAAGAAATCCTTGCCCCATAAAACTTACATTTTCATGGTTTAAATTTTTTCCAGTTTTGAGCTATAATGGACATACAAAATTGTGTAAGTTTCAAGTGTACAGCGAGCATGTCAAACTTGCAGTCCATGGGCACATGCCTCATTTATTTGGCCCGTGTTAGCCTTTGAGTTTGTCATGCTTGTTGCACAGCATACTGTCTTGACTTACATATGTATATTGTGAAGTGATTCCACATTAAGTTCAGTTAATATCCATTATCTCATACAGATTTTTTAAAAGTTTTTTCCCCCCTACAGATGGTCATATTTTTGTCATTCATTCTGCTATTGTGGTATATCATATTGATTTTTTTCATATGGTTTTTCCTATTTATTCCTGCATTCCAGGACTAAATCCCACTTAGTCGTGATGTATAATCCTTTTAACGTGCTGTTGAATTCAAACTGCTAACGTCTCTATATTGTTTCAAAGGTGTGCTGCCAAAGCAAAACTCCAAGTGGCTTTATTATTATTATTTTTAACGGGGCATAATGTACTCTGGATTTTATAATATCCTTTGAGTTTCCGTTTATCAATGAGTAAACGTTTCAAGGAGCAAGAAGTTTCCAGCCTGCTTGGAACGTGAACAAAAATGAGGACAAAAATGAAGACACACTTGCTACTTCTGATTGTTTTCTTTGCAGAACTGGCATCGCCTCCTACGTAACATCCCTCAATGAAAAGCGCTGTGCAACAAGTTTGACCTACAGGGAGCATCCATGTTTGCCGGTGCCATGATACCGTATGAAACTGGTCAATACAAATGTCCTGGGAATTCAGGTCTTCTCCAACTGACTCAGTCATTCAACCTTCGGCGTAGTCAGAACATCGCCCCTGTGCGCAGTCATGCGCTGGTGGGTGGGGCATGGCAGTGGATGCGGCTGGCTGAGAGAGGGGAACAAAAATTTAAACCATGAAAATGTAAGTTTTATGGGGCAAGAATGTTTTGGTCTGTTGTCTTATCGTCTATAACGAAGGAAATGCTCATGTGCCTTCCCAGGCGCCCTCTACAATCATTGTCACCCAACAATGAAATGTTGAACAAGTGAATGACTGCTGGCTCCAATTCTGTGGGAGAGCGAAGTCCACGGTTCTTTGGGGGAAACTTTGGTTCCAGAGACCAAACTTTTGGAAACTGGCAACCGCCACTGAGACGGAACTTCCGCTTGGGCCTGGCTGGGCCCGGTGAAAGGGGTGAACGGTACCTGGGGGTGATTGGTTCACTTCCTGGACGCCTCCAGCCGGCTGCGGCCGCCCGGGCAGTAGTAGGACACGAAGGAGGAAGGGAATCACTCCACAGGGCGCGGGTCCAGGGGAGAGGCCGGAGGAGGGAGTAAAACCCAAACCCATCCCTGAGGAAAGCCCACGCCCGGTAAAAGGAACTGGCTGGCCCTCGCCATCCCCTCAGGTTCAGCGTCTGCACCGGAAGCGGCGCCTCGCAGCCCGGCGACGACGCATGCGCCCAACGCATGCGCCCCACGCGCCCCACGCAGCACGACGCCCGCCGCCTCGCCTCCCCGCGCCTGCGTAGCTGGGGGTCTCTGGCCTCTTCCCCCGCGTTGGGGGTCGGTAGCAGCCGCTGAGCCCCGAGTGGGCTGTTTTGTTGTAGCTCCAGTAGGTAGTTTCCCGGCAGGCGGTACTGTGGCCTAGAGGGAAAAGTGAATCTGCAGTTCAGAGCCCTGGTCGCCAGCCTTCTTATGCATCCTTTGTTTTAACCTGAGGCGCTGTCTCTGCTGTTATCTTCTCTGTTATCTGCCAAGCAGCTGGAAGTTGTATGGAGAATTTTGGTAGCTCAGTTGGTTAGAGCGACCTCCAAGATTGCGGTTGGATCCTCATCCAGGCTCAAAGAAGAATCAATACTGTAAATGGAGCAGCAACAAGTCGGTGTCTCTATCTTAAAAGGAAAAAAAAAAAAATTTTTTTAAAGAATGTTTATAAAAACACCCCAGACGTGATGGACGCCTCAAATGTCATTTCTTCAATAGGAAACTGAATTATAAAGTTGAGTAATAGCTACTTTGAAGAAAGAGAAGAAAAAAGAAAACTACCCCCCCACACACACACACATCCCAAACACTCACATATACATATACATATACATATACATATACATATACATATACATAGAATAAGCTCAAAGAATGAACCAGCAACTGCTAACTGATTTCCTCAAGGGAGAAGATATTGGGAGGCTGAAGATGAGCGGGAAGAGTGGGGTTTTGGGAAGTGTGGTGGGGGAGGGAGGGTTGTATTGTTTTAAATTTGTCCAATGAGCATATATTGTTTTGTAAATGTTTGACTCCATGAAAATGTAGACTCCAAGGAAATTCGGAAATTTAAGAAGTTGGAGTAGAATTCAGAAATGCTTGATAGAATATGTATGTTTGAAGGAGAAATGTCTTGTGTAACCCACCAAGTCTTCCTGTTTATTTCTGAACAGAGAATTCTGGGGGTTGAGGAGGCCACTGGATACAGGAAAAGAGGAGCCGGGCTTTTTGGAAAATTATCAGCAGTGGCACCATACAGGAAACCAGTCTTTATCATCTCAACCATTGCATATCCCCTTAGGATTTGCTGAAGAAAATTGAAAGGTAAATTGTAGTGTGAGCTCCCTGAACAGGGGATGTATGATGTTTATTTTTGTAAAGGAAGTTAATTGGGTGTGACTGGCAGTGTTGAGATCTGAAGTTCCTCTTTCTGATAAGGAAAATGTCCCTTAGTGTGGGTAATAGTATATTTCTGCCCCCAACAATTGCAAGAGAACTTCAGACTCCCTCTCTAAAGGAAATGGTGAGGCAAAAGCTAGGCAACTGTGCCTCAGAGGGATTGCAGAAGGAAGACCCTGGACACTTCTCATCCCCTGGGTTAACGGAATCAGGTCGCCTTTGTTCCCCAGGGAATTAGTGGATCTGGACAAGTGTGAGAAAATGGGACCAGAGATTGGGGACCCAAAAGGTTGAAAGAGTCAAGTCTAAGGCCAGAAGTTAATAATGTTGCTTCTTAGTTTGCCTTATGTGTAAGTAGGAAGCCAGAAGTTGAGTTCCCAAATAAAATAGTTTAGGAATAGTATTTCTTTTTTTCTTTAAGGTATTACATATGTGTCCTTATCCCTCTATTGTTCTCCCCTCCCCTACTCATGAGGAATAGTGTTTCTTAAGTAACTCCAAATGTCAGTACATCTACAAAGAAATAAATGAAGCCTGGTGGGTAAGGCATCAATCAGACTGAGAAATGAGCAACACCTGGGGATGGGAATTCTCCACAGAAGAGAAAAAACGAACACAAAACAGGAGAGCATACTTAGTAAATTTTATTTTTCGTATAAAAAAAAGAAAAACAATAATTTATGCCTTTGCCAAAATAAAGGATCTTGTCAATATAAATGTTCCCTAGAAAACATATGAAAAGATAATATAATATATATATTAATAAATCAGTAACATTAAAGGCAAAGAAACAATGATTCCATAACAATGACAAGTAGGGATATTTGTGACCCTTACAGAACAGTGTTTCTGGAAGGTCCCATGATTCCTCCTTTTTTTATTTTAAGTATAGATGTGTCTTCATTTTAAGAAAGTTTGATACACACATATCTAAATTTAGAAAGACAATTATTAAAGGGTATTCATTTGTATCACAAGGTAATTCTTTACCCCACAAAAAAAGTGTTTCTGTAAGGGATCCTTTGAATAGGCAGATTTTCCTAATAGGTTTAGAATATAATTAACCAAATACATATGTCCTCAACTTCTTTCATTATAACTCTAGTGCATCAAGTGAGGAATACCGTAAGCGAGACAGTAACAGACTGGGCTTCAGATCCACCTAGAGAGACTATGTCTTTACAGTGTGAGGAAGTGGTTGGAGGCCCAAATTCTTTTGTTTCTCTCATCCTGAGCTCTTAATTGTCTTGTCTCCACTGCTTGCTGGTGAATTTTGTTCACCTGGCCCTCTTGGGGGGGGGGGGGGGGAGTCATCATGGAAGTGGGGCAAATTAATGCATTAGTCACTCCCGCAGGGCAGCGTGGGAAAGAATCTGGGGTTCAGAGTGTGCCTATGGATATGGCTGGGGTAAAGCAAGGGAAATTCTGAGTCCTCGATGTGTTTTTGAGGCGCCTCTCCCGAGAGAGGCGCCCGACTTCCTGAGGAGCAGCAAGGCCCAGTCCGGCCCGCCCTGGCTGGGACTTGGTCAGGAGCACGGGCTCGGGCCTATTTGTCACACTCCTCGGGGCTCCCTTCAGCGTGGTGGTAGTGTTGCTCACAGAACTCCTGGATCCGGCTGCAGGCCTCCAGCATCATCACTTCGGGGACGGTGATCACCACCCGGAAGAAATTCGGGTACTCGAAGCACTGTTAACATAAGAGCTTGTTATTCTCAGAGCCATTCGCCCTGGCCCTGGACCGCCCTAAGATGGCCAGGGCCCCAACCGCAAGAAGCAGTGCCATTTACTCAGTAACGGGGTTCCTTCATCTTAAAAGCTTGATTTCCCCTCACCGAGAATGCCCCACCACACCCTTTTTTCCCAGGACTGATGGGATAGTGATGGAG